GCAGGGGGGGGAGGTAAGGCATGGCCGGTCGGATGGGCTGCAGAGCGCTGGCACGGGTCCACGCCTCGGGGTCCCGGGGTTCCAGGATGCCGGGGCGCCTGTGCGCTCTTTCCAAGCCTCCCTCCCCCGGCCTGCGCCTCCCAGAGCCCTGGGAACGGCCTGACACTCTCCCCACCTCGACTTGTGTTCTCGACGATGTGCTGCGACTAAGCAACCTGACCCCACGAACACCGGGGCGGGTAGTTCACACCGTGCCCCCGGGTGGAGACCCAGGCGAACCTGGGTCAGGGACCGTGGGGCACCTGTGTGCAGCCGCCCCAGGACAGTCTCCTTGCATCTGTCCATGGGAGCTGACCCTCTCCTGCTTGTCAGCTCAGGCCAGGAGAGTAGGGACCTGGGCGGAGCCCTGAGTGGGGACCAGAAGCGGGGGATGCAGTCCAGCCCTGACAACTTGTGTCCACCCGGGCAGCAGCCACTGGGAAGACGATGTCCAGGCTGTTTGTCTGGAGCGACACCAGGGACGAGGAGGACGGGTACAGCCTATACCCGAAGAGTGAGGACTGGATCAGGACTGAGACAGGCTCCTTCCAATGCGCCTACCTCACCCCCTGGGCCACCATGCAGGACCCTCACGTTTTTACCTGATTTCCTCATTTTGCTTCACTGGATAGGTGCTGGCAGCCCAGCACCCCAGGAGGTCTGGGCAGGAGCTGGGAACCTATGTCTAATCTTTCCCCAGCTTAGAATTGCAAATGTTTGGCCTGCACCTGAGCTGGGCCCCACCCTGATGGGGGGTGGGGAGGTTCGGAGCTGGCAGAACTAAGTCCCTGGGTCTGGGCCTCCCCTAGGTGCCCCTTTACACCCAGGACTTGCTGAGAGTCATTGGGAGGTTAGGGTACCTGGAGGATTCCCTGTCCCCGTGCCTGGCCCAAGTTTTCATATAGCACCAGCTCCTGGGGAGGACTCCAGGGGTCAGTGTCACTCGGGCTGCAATTGATAACCTCCCTTCCTCCTCCCCAGGGAGCCCAGTGGAGGCGCCCTCCCGAGGCACTGCCCATGCTGACTACAGTCCTCCAGCTGCTGATGTCATGAGTAACACCACAGTGCCCAATGCCCCCCAGACCAACAGCGACTCCATGGTGGGCTATGTGTTGGGCCCTTTTTTCCTCATCACCCTGATCGGGGTGGTGGTGGCTGTGGTAAGGAGCCCCCTCATTCACACATACACCCACACCTTTGCGAAGCAGGGCTGGGTGGGCCAGGTCATCTGCACACAGCATCCCAAGCTGTCCTGCAGTCGGATGTGGAGGTGGGTGGGCTGTCCAGGTCTCCCAGCCTCCACAGCGCTGTCTCTGTTACAGGTAATGTATGTCCAGAAGAAAAAGCGGTGAGTGTCCCCGCCCCCAGGACTACCTCCCCACATTTGGCTTAAATTTCTTCTCCTAGGACCAGAGTTCTCTGCATCCATGTAAGATGGCCCTTGGCCATCCCGACACAGCCTGCAATCCCTGCCCCCCACTGTTAGGTTTTCCTGCCCTGGCTCAGCTCACCTGCTGGGGAGAGGCCCCTTTGTCTCAGAGCCTGGGGGAGTGGAGACAGGGCGGTCAGATGTGTAAAGGGGGTGGCCCCTGGGCTGAGCCACCTCCCCTGCTCCCCAGGGTGGACAGGCTTCGTCATCACCTGCTCCCCATGTACAGCTACGACCCCGCTGAGGAGCTGCATGAGGCTGAGCAGGAGCTACTCTCTGACGTGGGAGACCCGAAGGTAAGATGGAGCCAGCAGAGGGGGGTCTGCTCTGCACTCACAAGCACTCACCCCAGAAACCAGAGCCTGGTTCTGCCCTCAGCCCACCCCATTAGGACTGATGAGTAGCGAGGCCTCTCTCCCAGGGGCCTGAGCCCAGGGTGGTCTCCCCCCCACCCCCCAGGTGGTGCACGGCTGGCAGAGTGGCTACCAGCACAAGCGGATGCCCTTGCTGGACGTCAAAACCTGACACCCTCACCTTCAGAACCATGGGATCCTGCCGCCTGCTGCTTCCCTTCCCACCTGCCCACCCGGCCCCCGGCTGGGCACTGGGTCTCCACTCCTCCAGCCCATCCCCCTCCGTCTGTAGGCCTTTGTGGGCCAAGCCTGCTCCCAGGCACTAGGGGCTTTTCCTCCTGGGGTGGGCCGCTTTGCCCTGTGGGCCCCTGTCTTGGCTTGGGAGCTCCCCATGGTGGCAGGGCCTGATGTATAGTCTTCAGTATACATATTTTGTAAATAAAATGTTTTGTGGTTAGAGGTGTGATTTCTCCAAGGGCCTGAAATTACCTCCCCCAGGTGCCTGCTTTTCCTCCTCCTGCCCCCACCCTCAAGAGCTGGGCAGGGCAGCTCCAAAGCCACCCCCACCAACAGGTTCTCGGGTCTCCACCTTCACCTGCTCCAGGCACCCACCTACAGAGACTCCAGTCCAGAAAAGGATATATTTTTATTCAAGTAACTGCAAGTAGGAAACCAGAGGGAGGGGCCCAGGCTGGGACAAATAACGGCTACCTCCTCCCGGCAGAACGGGGAGAAGGTGGCCCTACACTCTCCGCTGTCAACACAGGCCCCGCTCACTCAGCTGCAGCATCCTAGGGGCAGAGCCCCCACTTCCCTGGGACTGGGGCAGTCGATTCCCAGCCTGCTTTGCCCCTGGCTCCTTCCCAAGAGCATCTTGGAGGGGAGTGTGGGCAGCACAGGAGGCAGTGAGGATGAACATTTGGCGCTGGTAGCAGCAGCAATGACAGATGTCTAAGAATGAAACATGGAACAAAAAACAACACAACTGTCCAGAGGTAGTTTGTGAACAGAGGAAAGATGGAACCAGAACCTTGGGGGGTGGGGAGGAGCAGGGGGTGGGAGCGGGCAAGGCTAGCTCCTTGTTAGTGCCCCATGTGAGGGGGAGGAAACTGGAGGCCTAGAGTGGAAGCAGATGGGGCCAGGGGCTCACACCCCTCCTGCCTTCCCTCCTGTGCCCCAGGGGGGCGCTGTTCAACCTAGTGCAGGGCTAGGGCCTCGTGGAAGGAAGGAAAGTGGGTGTGAGCCGCACCTGGTGAGACACAGGTTGGTTGGGGCATCTTGGGGCCAAACAACCCTATCCATGGCCACAGGTGCTGCTGCCAGGACAGTGGAGTGGGCATGTCAGAGTGAGATGGGGCTCAGGCCCCTTTAAGGCCAGGGGAACCCTCCCAGGCCCCCTAATGGGAAGCCAGAGGTAAGAGTGGGGAAGGGACCCCCTAAACCAGGAGCCCAGTCAGCAATGCCCCCACCACCCAGGGAGCAGGGACGCAGCAGGCATGGGGTGCGGCTAAGTGGGACGTCAGCTTTGTCAGGAGGCTGGGGGGATGCACGTGAGGGTGAGGGGTGCTGGGGACCGAAACCAAAGGAAAACTCCCCACTCGGGCCACCAGGGCCCGGCTGGTGTGCTGTGTAGTGTGGCGGTGCAGGCGGGCGCGGATGGGTGGTGGTGGCTGGGGGAGGGGGCGGGGCAGTGGGAGCGGAGCTGTCCAGTCCCAGAAGGAAATGGCTCCTCAGTGAGGAAGCAGGTGGCCCGGTCACTGCTCCTCCTCGGAGGACTCCTGCGAGATGCCCTCTTCTTCCTCCTTCTCCTGTGAGGTGGACAGGCAGGGCCATCAGCACGGGTGCCAGGCCTGGCCCTTCTCCTTCTCCACCCCCAGTTGTGGGGGAGGGAACTCAGGCCTGTTGCCCCCACCCCCTCCCTGGCTCTCCAGAAGGGGAATGAGTCAGGGTTGAGTGTGTGGGTGACTCAGCAACCTCCACAGCCCAGTTTCATTCATAAAAAAGGAAGAATTTAAAAGGAGGGAACAAAACCACACATGCTGCTCTCACCGAGCCATCCTCCCTTGCCCCGGGGCCCACGGTGGGGGACTGGGCAGAACCCAGAAGAGCAGCACTGAAGCTGAGGGAAGTGAGGAGTGACTGGCTGGGGAGGGAGGCAGCAGCCAGGGAGAGGAAACGGGTAGGGGTGGGTGGTGGAGGGTGCAGGGGAACCAGGTGGTCTTGGCACACAGGGCAGTGGCCGCAGCCGCAGGCTGACCCCAGGCCAGGGTGGGGAGGAAGGGGAAGTGTGTGGCGCAGGGGCTCACTCACGGGGCGGGAATGTCGGGACACCACGGGCTGCGGCCCCCGTGCCAGGCACAAACTCCAAAACAACTTGTTTCCTGTTACTCACTCCTGGGGCCCAGCCAGCACCCCCCGCCCCCCGGCCCCCCAGCCCTGGTGGTAGTGGCTCAGCTCGAGGAATGAATGCCTCAGGGAGTTCAGGGAGCAGACTGGGGATAGGGAAGGGCTGGGAACAGGAAGGCTGGGAGGCTAACTCAGGGGAGCCCCCTAGAGGCAGTCTCCTGACTCGGCAAACCTACTTCCACCACCAGCTATCTGGGGGCCCAGAAATGAAAGGTGCCTCCAGGTGGGATCACACCTCAGCTCCCTCCCAGCACTGACCCCTCCCAGCGCTGAGCTCTTTGCTGCTGCTTCCTCCCTCCCAGGATCAGGGCAAAGGCACACCTCACTCCTTCCCCCTGTGAAGGCCTTTCCTCATTTCTATAATGGGGGACAGTTTAGAGGACCTCCAAGATCCCCCCTAGAAGCAGAGACAGCCTCCACTAGTGGAGGGCAAGGGTCTGTTCTGTACCTGGGACCCCGCACTTCTCATGGACACATAGTCCTTTAAACGAGGTGCCAGGAGCCGGGCCTGGGCCAAGTGTGGCAGCCTCCATCCCTGGCCCAGCAGGTCGGGGAGAGCTGTTTTTCCATGGTGGGTGCACAAGATCAGGTAGGCCTCACCCCCTTCTCAGCACCCCACCCAGAGGGGCCAAGCCCGTACCCCCTTCACCTACCAGTTTTTTGGGTCTGCCCCTTGGTTTCCTCCCTGGAGTCGTGGTGGTTTTCTAGATGGCAGAGAAAAAACCCACTAAGTCAAAAACGTCCCCGACAGTGCTCACCCAGTAACGGTGGGAAGCAGAGGACAGAGCTGCCCTCCTCTGCTCGGGGAAGCCCAGGAATCTCACCCCAACCACAGGCCACCCCAGCTGGTCCAGCTGGTGATGACTGGCCGCCACATTGCCCCCCTCAATATACACACACGCCCCCCACTCCCTCCTCCTCCCATGACTCAGAGGATATGAGTCGTGTCTTAGAAAAAATAAAAAACAAAACAACTTCTCTGAAAGCTTGATGCCACTGGGAAGCTGGCCTTCCCTGCCCCTCACCCCCAGATCCAGGGGACCCCAGGACAGAAGTGACATTTCAGCCCAGGGGCTGGTGGGGCTGTCCCTTCATTGTGCCCAACTCTCCTTTCTCCAGGCCAGGAATGCTGTCGGACTTCTGACTTGATTTCCCCATTGTCCCGGGCAGGCCCAAGGCACAGAAGTGAGACCTCAGTCATCGCCCTGCTTTCCCCATTAGCACAGACCCACTGCCCGCCCCATAGCCCAGGCAGAGGGACAGACTCGGGATGAGCCAGCCCTCCCCCACGCCTCCCTCTCCGTGCACTAGGAGGCCACACCGCCCCCAAGCCTCACCCGGGTCTTGGCAGCGCCCTTGTTTTTGCTCCCCTTTGGTCTGCCCCGAGGTCTCTTAGGTGTTGGCACTTCGCTGGGCTCCTTCTGCAAAGACAGAGGCAGTTAGACACAGATGCCACCTGTCCCACCCCTTTCAGACAACGGAGGCCTCTGCCCCACCCCAACCGGATTTAAGTCTGCGAGCGATCACCTCGGCCAAGAACCCATAATGGCGGGACAAGTGGTTAGGATTTAGCTGTTTGACCACCTTTTGCAAAGGCCCTTGCTTCCCTGTGACAAGACCCTGGGAAAGGAGTCCTGGGGGCCGACAGACAGAGGCAGCTCTGCCCCTGTCCCAGCTCTGCCACTGACTAATCCCCAAGATCTTGGGGAAGACCCTTAATGCCCGAGCCCCACTTTCCTCCTTTGTAAAGGGTTATCATCAAAATTAAATGGAGGATGTCTCATCCTGAGCCACAATCACTGCCCACACTTTCAGGTAATGCATGCCGGGCACTTCTGGGAAGCAGAAGAGCAGAAAGGATGTCTCCGTTGGAGGGAGCCCCCAGGCTCTACTGTAAACTGGCCACCTCCAGGGTGCCTCCCAGGGAGAAGAAACCCCAGAGGTCCCTGCCATTGTTGCCGCTAAAATTTTAATAAGCCCGAGACGGAATAAAAAGCTGCTGCATAATGCATAGAAGCCAGGCAGCAGAGGCAAGCAGCTACGGTTTGCCGTGGGTGGCTTCCAACCATGGTCCAGTAACCCAACACCCCTTTCTGACCCCCGACCCCACTCCAGTGACAGGCGGTGGGGAGGCCCAGGGAAGCGGACTACAAGGGTGAGTCCCCCACACACTAGGCTCTGAAGAGGCAGCTGAATGCCACCACCCACACTCCTCCTGGCTCATGGCTCCCAGTCAAGATAGACCACTCTCTCCACCTCGCTGCCAGGAAGCTGGGGGCCTGCGTGTGAAGGACTGACCCTGGTTTCCTCTCCTCTTCCCCAGAAAGGGGAAGCCTGGACCCCACCCGCTGGCTATGCCTCCCGGGGTGCCCCACAGGGCAAGGCTGGCCTTCTAACCCAGGAGGAGGACAGCGCCAGGGTTCCCTCTACCAACCAACTCCCCACCATTTCCAACTTCTTAGGCTCCCATTTCCTTGTTCAGAGCCGGCTGAAGCCTCGCCAGGTCGCTGGCAGCACGGCCCTGCCCTGGTCACTGGCCGAGATGAGGAAGTGCAGAACTGTCAGGAAGGACCCAAACCTCTCATAGCAGCAAATCAACAGCAAGATGTGAGGTGGAGCTCATGCTTAAAAACCCTGGGCTCCTCTCTTTCATGTTCCCCGAGTTCACCGTTACTATTCTATAAACACAGAGGTCTCGAGCAGGTGGCCCCCCACAGTGCAAACGCACCTGCGTGAGCAGAGGGACACTGAGGCTTGGTCCCCACTTCTGCTGGGGTCTCAGGAGGGTCTGCGAGTGGTGAGTGTAGGGTGTGCGGGCACGTGGGAGGACAGCAGACGGGAGTGATTCTGCACCGGCCCGTTCCTGCTTTCGCCTGCCAAGGTGCCTGGGGCCTCCCTCGCCCAAAGGGTAAACCGAGGCCACGATTTGGACACCCACTTGACTCCCTACCAGCGCGGTCCCAGGACTCACCGGAGGCTGCTTTCTCGGCCTGCCCCGCCCTCGCTTCTCAGTGCCGTCCTTTTCCTGCTTGGAGGCCAGGGGCTGGCTGGACTTCGAACTCGACTCGCTCATCTTCCCTTCTCTACGGAGCAGGTGGAGGAGCGATGGCTGAGATGCTGAAGGCAGGAGAAGTGGTTTTAAGCAAAACACTGTTTCAGCCACCTCCTACGCCCTCATCCCTCCCACCCTCCAAGTGGACTGCAGCAAAGCTGCCCGCTCCAGGGCGCCCAGGATGCCCACCCTGCTGCTGCCACAGGGAGGAGCTAGGCCCTCTGCCCTAATCACTCCTTATCTCCTGTTCAGAAGGGCTCTTTGTTGTCTTGCCACCCCCACAGGGCCAGGGCACAGGCAGCCCAGACCTGCTGAGGGGGAGGCTGTCCTGGGCAAAGGTGTAGATGAAGTGGGGGGCGGTCTTCGCGCCACAGGGGGCAGCACCTGGCAGCAGAGCTTCAATCCCCTGCACGCCTCACTGACAATATTGTCAAGCTCCAGGTTCAAGACCTAAGGCTACCAGGGCTGACCTTGACACTCCACACCAACCACAAGGCCAGGGCTGGTGCCTGGGCCCCAGCAAAGTCCCTCTCTGCTCTCCCAGGGTAAAAGCCTGGGATTCAAAGATGGGGCACAATTTGGGAACTGGGAAGGTGGTTGAACTGCAGTGGGCAAGGCTGGGGGAGGAAAAGGAGCCCACAACTGAAAGGTGGGTCTCCTCTCTCCCTCACCCCCATTCTGCCAACCTGGAATCAGAGACCTTTCCCTTTGATACCTGCTTACAGGAGGGGCTTCTCCAGCTGGGATGGACCCTCTAGCTGGCCCTCTGGAGCCCTGGCAGGACTGACCCTAAAAAGCTTCTTGGCCCTTTTTAGCATGTTCCCTCTCAGAAGCCTCACTATTTGAGTTTGCCCCAAACCTCCCCCCGCAAGGACACCTGCACCCTGTTGCTGGGGGCCCCTTCGAGAGACATAAAAAGGGCAGTGAGGCCCTGGCCAGGTAGCTCAGCAGGTTAGTGTTGTGCCGATACACCAAGGTGGTGGGTTCCCGCCCCGGTCAGGGCAAATACAAGAACCAACCAATGAATGCCTAGAATAAGTGGCACAACTAATTGATCTTTCTCTCAAATCAATAATTAAAACACGCAATCCTCCCAGTCATTATCCCCGAGTTACAGACAAGAGACTTGAATTAGGAAACCCAGGCTCCCCCACCTCCGTGGGGACCGAGTTCTGGTAAGGGGGGGCGGGGGGGGGGCTGGGCCCACAGGACTGGCTTCTGAAAGCCCCTCGGCCTGTGAAATGGGGTAAAGTTAAGACATCTGCCTCACCCACCTCTCCAGACCCCTGCAAAGGTAAACCAGGTAAGTTTTAAAATGCCTAGACAATGGGAAGTCTTCATTCAAAACGAGAACATTTGAAAATGACTTTTCTCCTCTTCAGACAATTTCCAGTAAGAAGAGAAAACATTTTGCCAATTTGTGACTTTTGGGGGGGCCCCGGCCTCAAAGCTTCGGGGTGCTCCAGACGGCAGGGCCTTTTCCAGTATTTCTTTTATTTTACAATATTTTAGACTTGGAGACCCTTTAAACAAGGTGGTTGGTGCTTTAGCCTGCTCCCTCATCAGTGGCTTGGCCTGCTCTGTAATTACAGGCAGTGATTAAAATCTTCTATTACACCACAGGCCCCCTTTCAAATGAAACATCAAAATTAATCAGCTAAATGAGCACTGGCCTCGCATGAGGTCTGCCCGAGGCCCCTCAGAGAGGGGGTTCTACCCTCATCCCAGAGAGCCTGGGCCCCGCCTGCTGGGATCCTGGTGGGGGTCGAGTTTCATCTGGTGCTTCTTCCTACCTCTTGCTGCTGGGGAGCCCTGAGTCCACACTCACCCACCCCAAATCCAGGCCTCTGTGAGTTGAATAAAGGCCCGAGGCCCTCTCCGGTGGGACCAACAAATGCTGCGTCTTCCACCTGTTTCTGAACCTCAGAGGCCTGTCGTGGAAAAGCCACTTTTAGGGCCCAATCTTAATCCTTCCATGTCTAAGACCTTTTGGTTCTCAGGTTGCGCCCTTCACACTGTGCCCGTAATGTGTGCTCCACAAACGCTTAGAGAACTTGCAGGAATGACCTTAGGAAATCATCACGGGGCCGCCCTGTTTTACAAAAAGAGTCGTCCAGAGAGGCTGGTAAGTTGCCTGGACTCACACAGCAAGTTGACGGACAGGACGGAGTAGGTTCCCGGCGACCGCCGAGCCCGCCACTTTCCTTACCCGCCGGGGCGGTTTGGTGAAGTCCCTGTGGCCCCCTTCCCCACACTCGGCCTCGGGGTGACTCTGCAAGTGTCTGCGCTTGGCCGTTGCTGGTCCACCGGCGGGACCAGGGGCCAGAATGCGCGGGGGGAGGGGCGCTCGAGCAGGCGCGGGAAACCGGTGCACCCCGACCGCATGCACCGCCACGCGGGTGCACCCGGCCCCACTTCCTGCCAGAGGGGGCACCCAAGCCCGCCTTGGGGCAGGAACCTGGCGCGCGCTGGCGCGGGGTAGAGGAAGAAAGCCACTCTCCTCTGTGCCCTCCCCGCAAAATAAAGCCCCGGGAAAATAAATGGAAGCGGGGAGTCACAGGGACTAGTTCCAACAGAGCCCAGCAAAGCAGAGAAACCAGTTTGTGGGGGTGGAGGGCAGGCCCGGCCCTGGGGGCTGAAGAGGCGCGCGGGCCGGGCCAGAGGTGGGGTCGGGGTGAAACACCAAGCCCAGGCCCGCGACCCGGCCTCATTGGCGAGAAGGGGCGCCAGGTAAAGGCCGAGCGGGAGTAGGACCGGATTGCGGGATTCCTGCCCATCCCCCTCACTTCTAGAACTTCCCCAGGCTGCGGGGGTCGGCCGGCTCCCCACTCTCCCGCTGCGCCGCAGGCTGTTCCTCTCTCCGCCCCCCCAGACACCCACTCGGGGCCCGGGCCCGGGCTCGGGCGGGAGCG